AGGATACAGATCCATTTGGTTTCCCCATTTTTCTACTCTACATGCAAAAACATACAGACAGAAAAACATTTTGAAAAGTTTAAAAGACTGGCTAGGATAAGAGTCAAGGTAAGGGTGTTTAATAATCTGCCACCATTCTCAGGATCCTTCCTCTTAAGGCTACAAAAGTCAAGCTATAAAGCTTATAGACTGGTTTCCTGGGACTCTCTCTACTGTATCAGGAAAATAATTAGAGATTTATAACATGATTTTAATCAGAATGCAGAGATGGTGGTGTGGCTTCCATTCACTTATATAACACTCCATTCATTTATATAACATTACAGAGTGTTCATTAATCTGTTTTGTCCACTGGTCATTGGCCCTTCTTCCAATTAACAAATATGTAAAGATACAAGAACAAGGTAGAATTCTTATGCTCCCCATTCTCGGTCTTTTGGAGAGAAGGACCCAGGCAGACAATTTCAGCTGATGATTGATTAGCCAAAGGAAGCTAGGAAAATAGTGTGGCAAGCAGAGAGAGAAAACAGGCCAGGCTATTGTTTATAGTCTCTCATTTAATTCTTCCAACAGTTTTGTGGGGTAGATCATGCTGATGTATCTTTATTTTATAGATGAGGATGCTGGGCTTAGGAAAAATACTTGGATGAGGTACAATTACACAATGACAGCTGGAGGCCGGAAGCCAGGACCTGAAGTCAGCTGGCTTTCCGCTGCTGTGCCAGCTGTCTTTTCCAGGGTATTCTCTCCCTCTGGTTCTTATTCCTACTGAATACTTCCTTCTTTTGAAGGTCAAAGAAAATATAATTATTTTTCCTCTTCTGGCCATTATGCTTTCCTTCTGCTCATTACACGAACCTTACTTCATCTCAGTGGAGCTGTGTGTTCAGTGGGACTTTACACTAAATGCAGTGTTCGTAGAATGTATGTTGGCAGTGCAGTGCCCACTGAGTAATACTGTACAGGCAGACTGATAGAGCTGTTCTATTCTCACATTATTGCACCTAGATGAAACCCGTTTTGAATACTAATTTGGCCTTCTAGTCCAAGCCTGCAGCATATCTGTTGGTGCTTGAACGTGTCTTGGTTTTGTTTCACTGCAAGTAGTTAATAGACAGCAAAGACATATGCAAGGATACAGGTAATTGCAAGAATATTACAGAGGAAATGGGCAGAACTGATCATGTCCGATGGAGGAACAATGAATTCAGAGCACTGCTTTCTACCTCTAGAAAGGCCTGAGTCCCTCTGCTTACACTCCAATCTACAGGGGCACTGCTGCCCTTTCTAAAGCCTGGTGATGGCCTTGGGAAAAGTAATCCTAATGCATGCTTCCTCACCTGGGCTAGGGTTCCCTTGGAAGCATATCAATTCAGGCCAAGGATTAATTGTTCTAGAGAAATTAGAATTCCTTTCTCCCACAAAGAACATCTTCCAACATTTTAGCCTCCCAACCATCCATCCATCCATCCATCCATCCATCACATTTTACTGAGTAGCAGGCTCTGTGCTGAGGAAACAGGCAGTGAAGAAACATTTTACTGAGTACCTACTCTGTAGCAGGCTCTGTGCTGAGGAAACAGGCAGTGAAGAAAACAAACATTTCTGTCCTTCAATGTCAATTGCTCTGATTCTAATTCTGATTCTCTCCTGTAAGAGTTCCCCCACTGTGTGGCTCTGATTTTCTCCTCAGTGCTGATGAATCTCAAACCTGCCCTTGGAACTCTTCAGAGCTCCAGAGCTTTGCACTAGAATGCCCACTATGTAGCACCATGTGGATTTCCCAAAAGAACACATCCCTGGCATGCCTAAAACCAAACTCATTTGACTTCCTCTGAGAGCTGCTTCCCTAAAGAGCATGGTAAACATAGAAAAGGGTAAATACAAAGGGTGAAAAAACTTAGCAAGGGGCATTACTTATGTACATTTTATGCTCTCTTAAATGGCTTAAAGGCTCTTTAATATATGTGCCCTCCATCCCTGCTCTTACCAATGTCATCCTTGGTCACACCCCTCTCAAACACTATTCTCTATTCCTTGAATGTAACTTACTCTCTTTCCTTGTAGCCTTTGCCTGTGCCACTCCCTCTGGCTGGACTACTCAGCCACCATTGCTTTACCTCCTGCCACTCCTCCTTCAGTCTCACGGAAAAGTGGCATTTGCTTTGGGAAGCTTTCCCTGACTTCCAAACCGAGTGAGCTGTCAGCCAACCTTTAATTTTTTAAAAAAGAGTATATTTACTTCTTCAATCACAAAACTCTTCCAACCATGCTTTAATTATTTATTTGGATATTTGTATTCCTCTGTCAGAACCTGATAAAACCTCAATAATATTCGTTGGAAATGGTCAGAGCTGTTACAGGCGTATAACCATCTAGTTGTCAAAATAGGAGCTGTAATCACATATTGAAGACTTCCATTTTCCATTAAAATGTCACAGAGTGTATGTATTTAAAAATTTGTTGTTTACTTTTATCTAAATTACACTGAACACAGTTTAACAAGTCTTGTTACAAAAAACAACCTGCAGCACTTCATGCCCTAATTCCTAAACATTTCAACTCTTTCAGCTGATTCTTTTGATTTTCGACCTCCATAGCTCTAAATAACATACTTGTTGCTTGATTTTTGAAAACTTCCCTATATATATGATGAAGTCTTAGCTCCTTTCCACCCATGCCAACCACACATTATTACATTTCTTACCTAGTATTAATAAGCTTCCTCTTTATTTGCTTAGTTTCAATTTACTCAATTTAACCCTAACTTATTTCCTAAATATGCCAGTGTTTTTTTAATGTGTTCAAACTTGGTAGATATTCCATAAATTTCATATTCTTCAAAGATTCTCTCCTAGAGACTTCTGACCTGCTAAGATCTGGGTTTATTCTTCACAGACTATTGCATAGATATTGTGTTGGGCTTTCCCTTCCCCTTCATCCTAAAGATTCCCTTCACTTTTCTTCTATGCTAGACGTCATGCTTTCTGGACCTAATTCATTTTTACACTGTTATTTTGTGGAAGCATATCTTTTTAGGAGCTTCCTTATAAAGTTACAAGAGGTACAATGTTTAAGACCTTGCATTAAAAATATGTCTTTATTGTACTCCCATATTTAATTGGTAAGTTAGACTGGACATAGAATTCTAACTTAGAAATCATATTCCCTTTAGGTTTTAAAAATAATTGGGCAGTTACATGCAAAAAAATGAAACTAGACCACCAACTTACACCATACACAAAAATAAACTCAAAATGGATAAAGGACTTAAACGTAAGATGGGAACCATAAAAAATCTTAGAAGAATCCATAGGCAGCAAAATATCACACATATGTCGTAGCAATATCTTTACTGATACGGCTCCTAGGACAATGTAAACTAAGGAGAAAATAAACAAATGGGACTACATCAAAATAAAAGCTTCTGCACAGCAAAAGAAACCACCAACAAAACAACAAGAGAGCCCACTGCATGAGAGAACATATTTGCCAATGTTATCTCTGATAAGGGTTTAATCTCCAAAATTTATGGGGAACTCATACAACTTAACAAAAGGAAGATAAATAATCCAATCAAAAAATGGACAAAAGACCTAAATAGACCCATTTTGAAATAGGACCTACAGAAGGCCAAGAGACATATGAAAACATGCTCAAAGTCACTAATCATCCAAGAGATAGAAATCAAAACAATGATATACCATCTCATGCCTGTCAGAATGGCTATCATTAACAAATCAACAAGCAACAAAGTGCTGGCGAGGATGTGGAGAAAAAGGAATCCTCGTGCACTGCTGGTGGGAATGCAGACTGGTGCAGCCACTGTGGAAAACAGTATGGAGTTTCCTCAAGAAAATTAAAAATGGAACTCCCCTTTGACCCAGTAATTCCACTTCTAGGAGTATCCCAAGAAACCAGAAACACCAATCAGAAAGGATATATGCACCCCTATGTTCATAGCAGCACAATTACCATAGCTAAGATTTGGAAACAGCCTCAGTGCCCATCAGCAGATGAGTGGATTAAAAAACAGTGGTACATCTACACAATGGAATACTACACTGCTGTGAAAAAGAAGGATCCATTTGCAACAGCATGGAGAGACCTAGAGAGCATTATGTTAAGGGAAATAAGCCAGTCAGAGAAAGATAAATATCACATGATCTCACTCATTTGTGGAATATAATGAACAATATAAACTGATGAACTAAAATAGATCCAGAGACACAGAAGCATCGAACAGACCGTCCAGTCTCTTCTGATCTAATCTCGGTAGAATTCTGCTACACTCAATTCATCCAATCAGTCAGACCAGTTTCAAGGGACGAGAGGGACATCCCCCTCCCCCTCTTACTTCTAAGTGGGAGGAGTGTCAAAAATTTGAGGATGTGTTTAACCACCACACACAGACATTTGACAACCCTTGGCTGTCTGTGAATATTTTTGACTGAATAAAAAGCTAGTTGGACTAAAAGCTGTTTGCAAGCTCTGAGCACATAAGTAGGGCTTGGTGACTGTGAGCATGACTGTAGAGTGATATGACTGGGCTATTTCACTGGGGAGATCTAGATCAGAATGTAAACCCATGTAAACCAACACTTCCTCTTTCTAATGTCCACTGAGCACTATGGAGCTAGTTAATAATTTTACCTTCATAGCAGCTCTATAAGGAAACGCCTTATTTTTTTTATAGATGAGATAACTAAGGCTTAGAGAGGTTAGTAAACATTGACTTGGGAGTCAACTCAGGTTGTGGTCAGAGCCTGAGCTCTTAAGTGCTATGTCATGCTTGACCAAAGGGAGAGAGAGAGAGATCTCCATGATGTCTTTAAGTCTGACCAAAAACAGATACATTGGGTATTATGCACAGGCTGTGAAAGAGGACAAAAAAATCAAAAGTCCCCAAAGCAGCTAAATCACAAAGATATCTCAGCTTTGACCCTTGTCTAGAGCATTGTATAGAAACCTCCAATGATAATGAAGCAATGGACACTTACAGAATGTTTGTTGGAAGTGAGACAACGTTGGAGCTTCTGGTGCGATGTTATAGAAATGGGTCTTCAGAGCTCCGCTCACCAGTAGATTATATGCCAGGTCAGTTATATTGATGCCCACAATTGCAAAGGAGTACCTGTAAAGTGCAAACCACAAGGCAATGTGTGTCACATATGGGAATAAGATTTAAAAATATGATCATTTGATTATTAAATTATCAGAGTGGCAGGCTTCCCTTCCCTCTTCACCTTACCAAAACCCTGAATTTTGCAATTTATCAGAAAATTTCAATAATGCAGACTAAGAGAATGCTTTGTCTGGAAATTCCAATTCCAAATATACAAGAGAAAAAAATCGGAAATTGACAAAGCTTCATATGCAAGGATATTCATTATAGTTTTATTTACTAAATGGCAAAGACTTGGAAACTATGCAAATATCCTAAAAAGGTGATTGGTGAAGTAAATTATGGTAATCTCATATAATATATTCAGACAATAAAAGACTAAGCAGAATATAGAACATTATGTATTGAACAAGCCCAGTTTTATTATACACACACACGCACAAATGTGTACAGAAAGCAGGCTAGGATGAAATGTCACAAAATACTAATATGGGTATGTTAAAGTAATAATATTGGGGTGATTTTTTGGTTTACTTTCCTATAATTTCTAGATTATCTATAATAAATCTATATTACTTTTAAAATTAGAAAAAAAATAAATATTTTAATGCTCAGGGTATATTTTCTAGTCCCCTTTCTACCTGTCTATAAAAATTAAATGAAACAGTTATTAAGTCCCATCTGGCAATATATATCCAGTACATTTAAAACAAGGTCGCTGTTCAAAATATTTTTAGATAAAATGGGCATTATAAAAAAAAACTTCTAAAGTAAATTTTATCTAAATGCCTATACTTGATAGAAATCCTTAAAAGAAAACTACCAAATACAATTATGAATGATTTCTGAAATGATTTTCATATAGTTTCTAAACCTTGCAGTTGGTGACAGGCAAAGTAATATTATATAATCATGCAAATACAAATATATCCAAAAACATAAACCATCCTTTTAAAAATTCAACTGGATTATATATTTCCATCAGGACAAGTAGATCTTCATCCTTGTCATCTTTGACAGAGCTTCTCAGACATTTTTGTTCTGGTTCAGAAATCCAACACTCACCCAATTGCTTTGTCCATCCTTTTCTGCTGCCATTCTGCTTTGCTGAATTTGCTGAATGAATGAATAAATAAATAAATAAATAAGATTTAATCTCTAATTGGTACTTGTTCCCTTTATGTTCATGTTTAAACGGTTACACAGATGTCTGTAACTCGGTTATCAAACAGAAACCCATGAAAATGTTGTCAATTAAAAAGCCACAATACAATTGATATGGAGCTTAGAAATGGAATTGTTTAAAGCTATGCTACTTATTCCCTGCTCACTTTAGTTCAGCTTTGGGAGACAGCCCTAATGGCCAAACATTATGATACTCTTTTGTACTATTATTAATTAGGAAACATGACTTCCACGAACCCTCTCCTCTAAGTAGGTGCCACTTCACTCTCATGATTTCTCATGTTTGGTTTTATGTCTGGCATTTATCCTACTCAGCCTTGTTTGTGATGTCTGGCACACAGCAGATACCGAATAAATATTTATTGATAAATAAGTAGATTTAGTGAAGAGGAGGAAGGAAGGAAGGGAGGGAGGAAGGAAGGAGAAGAGAAAAGGAAGGAAGAAAGAGAAGGATGGAGGGATACTACATAGGTTTAAAAATTCTGTCTGAACAAGTGCTATGGCATTTCCCCTGGTTAAACGAGGACAATTAAGCCATAGAAACTCCACTTTTAATCCATTTTATAATTTGAGCTTCTGAACAAGGCTGTTTGAAGAAAGGGTCCCATCATGGAAGCATTCTGAAAATACCGCCTTGCAATCTATTACTGTGTGAGCAAGCCTCACCCCCTCCGTATTGCTAACGTCTTGTAGGCAGGAACCACATCCACTCTTCATTGTGGTTAATGGGATCTTCATTCAGTGTTTTACACTAAAACATAGCATTGGAACTAAATACAATTTTAAAACTAGAGTTATAAACATTTAGCTTCCAAGTAGGAGAGAGTTTTATATAGTACACAGCAAACACTACATTAAAAGACACACATGTAATACACACAGCAGAAGACCACAAGAACACAATGCAAAGTTTATATTATCTATATGTACTTTCTACCTTGTAAATGACTACCTATAATCCAAAGTAACTATCTTTAATTCATGTGAAAATAAATGTCACCTCTTTTTAAAGTGTCACTGCCCGCCAACAAAGCAACCAATCAGCCAAAGAGGCATCAGGACACTTTTACCTTAAAAGACTCATAATCAAATTAAAATGAGTTGTGTGTGAAATTTTTTTAAAAAATATATTTTTATTGAGTTCAGAGAGGAAGGGAGAGGGAGAGAGAGATAGATACATCAATGATGAGAGAGAAGCATTGATTGGCTGCCTCCTGCACGCCCCCTACTGGGGATCGAGCCCACAATCCAGGCATGTGCCCTTGACCGGAATCGAACCTGGGACTTTTCAGTCTGCAGGCCAACGCTCTATCCACTGAGCCAAACCAGCTAGGGCGTGTGTGAAATTTAAGAAACTTTATGTAAGTGAATTTATAAGCACCTTTTTCGCTTCAACAAATCTTTGTAAATACACAATTTTTCCCATATTTATTAAATCTCTATCTGCATTGAAAATATAAGAGAAGCCCAAACAACCTCCACTCATTTGATTACCTGTAGGATATCCTGACCCCAAAAGAATGAATCCTTCTCTTCAGGAAACACACACACACACACATACACACACACACACACACTAGCACACCCACATGTCCTCCCCCCCAAACAAACAAACAAACAAAACCTAACAGTCAAAATTCTCCTTTAAACTTGAATCTACTTTTATTCCTCAAGTTACTTCAGGATTTGATGGATGGATGTTCCCACAAGCAGTGGTGTCTAATGCTTGCTGATGGACAGACAGGAGAGAGTTTTTCTGAGTATCTATAGGCTTCTCCCTGCTGAACACCTGAAATATTTAGGGCCTGACAGAACCCATGTTGCTATCACACTGGTCAATATACAGGGTGTCTCAAAAAATGTATGCACACTTTAAGAGTTGATAGCTCAATTCTGAAAATAAAATGTATTTTAATAAACACTGCCTTTATAATTATTCAAGTATGTGTATACATTTTGGGGGGACACCCTATATATTTTTTCTTCAAATATCAGTGAAGGACAGTAACATTTGCAAAACATTCTGGCTTGTATCCAGTAAAATTTACCACCAATTTGAAGTGGTCCATATTTGAACAATTTTATTGTAGCTTGAGGGACAAAGCATTGTAGTTTTATGTACATGCCCTGTGTGCGCACACACAGGCACATGCTAGTGTCTTCTTAATCACACAAACCCTCAAATACTTCCTCTCTGATGCTGACGTGGGAGGTAAAACTATAAAGCCTTTCTCTGAGAATGGCTGACAAAATTAATCCCCCTGCAATGGTTAATCAAAAAGTATTTTAAGCTTATTGTCTCTTCCCAAGGACCCTGGAGGATTCGTGTCCTCTGGCCGATGCTCCTCTGGGAATGCCACCTGACATTGAACACAGACTGCAGTCAATTTTAATTAGAGGGAATTCAGAGCCTCTGCATCTCAGAAATAGGCAATTCACGCAGTGTCGTTAAAAATCAACATAGCTCGATTTTAGCCATGTAATATATCAAGAAGGAGCTGAGTGACTTTAGTGGCTTCCCAAAGTAAAGATAAAAGAAAATAATAATTTAATCTTATGAAAGATCACAAATATAAATTTGAGAAGTATAGTATAATTAAAGGAGTCTTAGATAACAGAAGCTAGAATAAGTACAGTGGGGCCTTGACTTACGAGTGTCCCGACTAACGAGTTTTTTGAGATACCAGCTGTCTCTCTGCTGATTTTTTGCATTGAGTTGATAGAGTAATTTGAGTTAACGAGCTCCTTAACGAACGAATTAAACTCGTAAGTCAAGGCCCCACTGTATAATAGTACTTTGGGGAGGGGAACCCCAAAGTCAACCTGCTTCTGAATTTTGAGAATGATGTGATAAAACCTAGGATTTAGTTAGAAAACATGAACATTAACAAGGAACTTTCGATGCTGGGGAGAAAAAGTGATACAAAACCACAATTGCAAAATAGCAGAACTCCTTATAATAAGAATGATTAAAGCATATATAACTATTATATGTAATAATGAAATGAGAAATGCATTAATAGAAGAGAAAATTTGCTCTGTGCAACAGAATTCCCACATAAAACGTCCACCTCTGGGAGTGGATGGGGTCAGAGCATGTGTGGAGAGGTGGTCAGCCTTTAGGTGAAGTGTTCAAAATGTTGCTCCAAGCAGGTGTAGCCATGGTTGTAGAAAGGGGTTTTGACATTACCTATCAGGTTGGTTTAACCTGGTTTTTCTCGCCTTAAAACAGAGCCAAAATATAATACACTATATTAAATTAAAAGATAGAAAATGCTTGCTTTTTGAAAGATTTTCATGAACTTATATTTCTTTAGAAAATTTTGCCTATACTTATTCTAAAAGAAAATAAAAGCAACAAAACACAAAGCAAAGAAAAAAATACCTTATTTCCTCTTTAGTGATATCCCTTCATGTAATCAGGTAAAGAAAAAAATTAGAAAGGTAAACAAAAGTACAAATAATTTAGAACCTAGAATTTTATTTTTTAAAAAAAGAAAAGCCTCAGCAATTCCAGACTTTTCAGTTAGTCCCTGACTTCATGACTTTCATCCTCCCCTCCAATCCCCCATCACACACCTTGTCTCTGAACTTTTTCTTCCAGACTCTACTTTCTCCTTCTATGCCTGCCTCCTCCGTCTTCCTGGACACCAGTGATTATATCATTCCCTTTAAATACATATCTCACTCTTATGGTTCCATTTTACATCCTCAATCCCATAAGTACCTGAAGATTTTTTGTAGGTTATACCCATTTAATTCACAAAGAACAGCATGTTTCAGGCTTATGATTTCCATTTAACATCAACAAAAACAATATGCACAGAAAACCCTAAGGTTTTACCCATACAGAGTAATATGTAAATGTGCAAATATACTTTAAAACACAAGTCATTCCATAGTGTTTGTAAGGCAGAACTTTATGGCAATGAAGGCCTCTACCTGGTGCCAGCTAATTTAATAATCGTTAATGTAGAGCTAATGCAAATCAGTACCTGAAGTTTTAACTGTCTATTCAGAATCTGTCAGAAGAGTTTGTTTGGAAGAGCTTCAAGCCTCACTTTTGGTGGTGTGACTCCTGAGAAGCTCATCAACAGACCCATGTAGGAGATGAAGTTAATTCTACCTCATCCATAAAGCCTAATCCACCTTTTCAAAAATTACCTGCATTTTGGATGAAGAGAGTCAGAGAGGACCTGCTGAGCTGCTGTGGCATCCCTTTCCGCAAAATACCTGCAGTTGGAGGGAAGGAAACCGTAACTCCATACTTGCTGAATACATGCGCTTTAACCCGATTTGAGGCCATTTGAATTCAGAGATGGACACTAGCATAAGATTGTCACCTGTTTCAGCTCCTCCAGATAACAGCTTTCCTGATTAGAATTTCCCCAATACAATGACAGTATGATAGGGTAGTTGTAATACTCATATAGACTTGGGAATGATTACAGTAGGTTTGCAAATATAATTATGAACTTTGCCATTCCCTAGAGAGCCCAAGATATCCTCATTAAGAGGGTTATAGGTGAGGGGGCCAGAAAGAGGCCCCTCATAAGGCAGAAAAGTCTGGAAGAAGGGACATGATGAGGGACTTCAACAGACAAAGGGCACAGAAAGGAGGAGACTAGAGAATACAGAATGTATTTCAAATGCATTTTTCTTGGGGAATATTCATGGAGTATTTGAATTCTGAATAATTGGAAAATCTCTAGAGCTTAGAGATGTTAAAAATAAAACTTAGTTCTGGGGAAAAGGAGGAAATGAAGTTTCCTAGAAAATGAAACTATAGCATGCTATTTAATTTGATGTGAATACATTTCCTGCATAATTCTAAAGAATAAAACAAGCTCTTGAATTTTGTTTCAGAAAATTTCATGTAGGGGAGGCAGCCAATCGATGTTTCTCTCTCACATTGGTGTTCTCTCTTTCTCACAAATCAATAAAAACACATCTTCAATGAGGATTTTAAAAAATATATCACTATTCTCACTTTTAGGGTGTGTCAAAGGATACAAGAACTAGCCTAAAAGGACTCCCTTTGGCTTGAAAAAGAATGACCACAAATGACTCAATTTAAGCTTGAAAAAAAATAATGAGCAAAATTAATTGAACCACAGTAAACATATAAAAACCAGGATTAAAAATAATATTTAAAATGTAAAGAGATACTCCCCAAAACATTTTTTGATCACTAACATGGGAACTAGGGCACCAAGGCCTCATGCTAAAAATTGGCAACTTATTTAGTGAGCATCTGTCCTGCCCATATTTTAGAGAAACCAAATAACCATAGTGGATAAAGGAAACTGAATCTCTACAGAATTCCAGCCAACAACTGTGGGTAGAATGACAGAATTAGAAAATCATTTTTTGCACAATTAATTAATTGGTTCAGTGAAGACTACTGAAGGAGGAAATGGTTAGATAAAGGGCCGGTGGGGGACTTTACGATGCAGCCGTCAAACTGTGATGCCTCTGACCCATCTCAGCCTGGGAACCAGACTGGGGACACTGCAGGCCTCCCACTGTGACATCAACCTGAACCTCTTGAAGCCTTTCTGAGTACCTGCGACTTTCAGGACACAGAGGGGATGGGCATAAATGCAAACAGGCAAATCTAGACCATGGGACATTTTACAGGACAATCGGCTAGGGAACTTGCACAAGTTAATAGCACAGCAGAGACGTCAAAGGGAGAGAGAGGGCAGTGGGAGAGAAACTGCTCCAACTGAAAAAGACCGGAGACTCATAATAACCAAGTACAATGTAGAGATCTTGTATACAATTGGTTAGAACAAACCAGCTATAAAAAGAGATTTTTGAGAGAACTGGGAAATTTGAATATGGACTAAATATAGAGGACACTAAGGAATTATTAATTTTGATAAATGTGATAATGGCATTTGGGTCAATGGAAGGTAATTACTCATGTTTTTTTAAAAAAAACTTAACAGTGAAATGAAAAACAGTGTAAGATTTTCATTAACATGCTTCTACCTCCAAAACAAATACGACAAGTATTTAAAAACCTTGATAATTACTGAATCTGGGTGATTAATATAAGGGGAGTTCTTTCTAATCTTCTCTCTGTTGTTATATATACTTAACATTTTTCATAATAAAAAATTTAAATAAATAAATTTGAGATTTGTTTAAAAGAATCCATCTAGTTTGCCGGATAAAAGTAAGATGGTAGCTTTTCTTTAAAAAATAACTTTTTAAAAAAATACATTTTTATTGATTTCAGAGAGAAAGGGAGAGGGAGAGAGATAGAAATATCAATGATGAGAGAGAATCATTGATTGACTGCTTCCTGCACGCCCTCTACTGGGAAATCAAACCCACAACCCAGGCATGTGCCCTTGACCAGAATCGAATCTGGGACTCTTCAGTCTGCAGGCTGACGCTCTATCCACTGAGCCAAACTGGCTAGGGCAAGAGGGTAGCTTTTTAACTTTCATGAACCTGAGTTATCTCTCAGAGGACTGGAATGTTTTCTTGGAATCTTCTTGGAAGTAGCTTTTGGAACTAATAACTCAATTTTGTCATTTCAGTCTGAGGAGACCAGAGCCTCACTCTAACACTTACCCATTCTTCATTTACTTACTGCAAATTGTACAGTCCCAGAAGTCCCATTCCTCGAAAATCCGTTTTAGGATCATCACCTTGGAAGCCAATTTCACACCATTGCTTAGAAATCCGAGATGCTAATGGAGTATCCGGCTTCAAGAATTTCCATAACTGGAGACAAAAAAGAAAATTAGCCTTCTGACATATGCACATAAATATTCTTCCCGATTGGCTCAGATCTTTTAAACTACACCACTAACAGGAGCTTTGCAAAAGTCAAATACATGCAAATATATAACAATTAAAGATTTGATCATCTTTCAGTTACCCATGACAGCAGTTCTCAAAGTATTGTCTGAATACTCCTGGAGGGTCCCCTTGACCTTTTCAGAGAGTCTGGGAGGTAAAAACTATTTCATAAAAAAACCAAATAGGTTATTTGCCTTTTCTTTCTCATCTCATGAGTACACGGTGGAATTTTCCAGAGGCTGCATGACCTGTAATGATGTCATCCCTCTGAAAGCAGTGGAATGTGTGCTTTTATATTTTAGTGTTTTAAATATTTCTGCTTTAATTTCTAATCAGATATTATCTCTCACACAAGCTGTTTGGAGTCCTCCAAAAATATACAAGAGAATAAAGGGGAGGAGAGAGCTGGGAAAATTTTGAGGGCATGCATTCCTTCAGAAAATGCTTAACCTATTTTATCACCAAACTTTTAGCAGCATTATTAACAAAAAGAAAAATGGATGGACTTGAGTTTTATTTCTTACAGCTCACCTATAATGATGTGAGAGTAAATACACATAGCTAAATAAAGGAATATCAATAATGTTCATGAATAACCCTCAAAACATATTATTATGTTTAAGAGTTACCTAAAAATGTTTCAACAATAATCAATTTTGTATTAATGGACAAATGTAGATTCTAAACACTATGTTTGTCACTGTTTAAGAAATCAGTTCTATTTTTCTAAGCTTTCTGTAGAAAGATACCTTTAACACATATCATTACTTGAGAATATGAGACACCCGCCTCTATCTACATGAATAAAAGACAAACATGCAAACTGACCGTACCTTCGCTATGCCTTAAGCCACGCCCACCAGCCAATCAGAGCGACTATATGCAAATTAACCCAACCAAGATGGCGGCCGGCAGCCACGGAGCTGGAGCAAGCAGGAGGCTTGGTTGCCCCAATGATGGAGGAAGGCAAGCTTCCCTCCTGCCCTGCCGGCCCTGAGCTCCGCTCAAGGCAACAAAGTTTCAATTATAGAAGATAAATAAATCCCAGATACCTGCTTCCAGCCCGCAGTCGTGGCCAGCCTGAAAACAGCACTCAGCCTTTGACCCAGGCTGGTCAGGCATGACAGTGGGGACCCCCACCATGAAGGGGTGTGGCCAGCCTGAAAATGGCCCTCAGCCCATCACCCAGGCTGGCCAGACACCCCAGCGGGACCCCCCCACCCTGAAGGGAGTGTGGCCAGCCTGAAAACAGCCATCAGCCCTTCACCCAGGCTGGCCAGGTACCCCAGCGGGGACCTCCACACTGAAGGGTGTGTGGCCAACCTGAAAACTGCCCTCAGCCCCTGACCCAGGCTGGCCACACTCCCATGGGGTGAGGGACCCCACTGGGGGGCTTGGCCAGCCTGAAAAC